GAAACAGGGTACAACATGTTTATTTAATGGTGAAAATCACAGCAAGACTACAGCTGAAAACTGACAAATTCAAAGAAAAATGGTCCCCATTAATACAAGCAACACCAGATCTCTAGCAGCACCTCTTTACTTATTTATTTGTATTTCTTTCTTTTTCATTTATTGTATTCACTGCACTTGTACTTGTTTCATCTGGATGGTAAAGCACTGGCTCTTACTATCATAAGGGTTCAGGTATTGTGCGATCATGTTTCCGATGAGGGGGAGTGATAATATCTGTAATATGTTGATAATGTTTGCACAATATAGAAATTGATAACACTAAGAAACTGTATGTCCTTTTGGTGCCCAAGGAGGGTATGTATGATTAATCCTGGTGTACAATAGCTGCAGTTATGTAAGCATCTCCATGTATGTTCTGGTTCAGGTTCTGGTCCAGGCTCTCGTCATCTCACGCCTAGACTACTGCAACTCCCTCCTGGCTGGTCTACCTGCATGTGCCATCCGACCTCTGCAGCTCATCCAGAATGCAGCGGCTCGTCTGGTCTTCAACCTTCCTAAATTCTCCCATACCACGCCGCTCCTCCGCTCCCTTCACTGGCTTCCGGTAACTGCTAGAATCCACTTCAAGACACTGGTACTTGCTTACCATGCTGCGAATGGATCTGGCCCTTCCTACATCCAGGACATGGTTAAACCGTACACCCCAGCGCGTGCACTACGCTCTGCATCAGCCAAACGACTCGCTGCGCCCTCGCTGCGAGGGGGACCCAAGTTCCCATCGGCAAAAACACATGGGTTTGCTATCCTGGCTCCAAGATGGTGGAATGAGCTCCCCATTGACATCAGGACAGCAGATAGCTTGCACATCTTCCGGCGCAAACTGAAAACTCATCTCTTTCGACTCCACTTCGAGCGTTAGAACTATTAACGAAGCACTTTTATACTAATAAAGGACTGGCTTACCTAAAGCCAGTTGAGTAGCACTTGAAATGTTTGGCTCTATGAAACCTGATGTACTTATATGATTCTGTTTTCTTCAAGGTTGTGTCTTCCTGGTCGAATGTACTTATTGTAAGTCGCTTTGGATAAAAGCGTCAGCTAAATGCAATGTAATGTAATGTAATGTATGTTCTATTGATGTTATGTATGAAAAAAAAAGAGAACATTATTCATGTTTGTTTAAGTATTTATCATTCCCATGGTATAAGACAAAGCTAAAAAAAAACACCATCTTATTTTCCTAACCGCTACATTGAGAAAGTGCTTACTATACTATTAAAAGACAACTGAACAATACTTCACTAGTCATGTTTATTCGCATAAACAATAACACACACAAAAACAGAAAGCATAAAGGCCAAAAGCTATAACTAAACCTTTAGAAAGCTGAAAGAACGTTACAAGTTATGCTTTGGATAATATGATTGATCTTGCCGTTATTGAAAAAATATGAAGAATGTCTAACATCAAACTTTAATGTATCTTATGGAACTGATGCTGTCACTCATAAATGCCCACTGACGGATTTTCTTGTTAGCAAAATCATTAGCTGACCAACAAGTCCTCCAACTCATACGACCAAATGGGCCGATTGTCCAGGCCCTTATTACGACCAAATATGTTGTTTGTTCAAGCGCTTAATACGTCCTATAATTACGTTTTAAAGTTTTCGCCCTCTAGTGCTCCCGTTGAATGCAAACGTTACAGATGGTCGTTTATTCACAAATAACCCTCTCTGGAAAATCCTAAATGGATAGTTTGGCCATTAAAACGCTTTTTGATTAGATTTCTAGCAAGAAGTGTAGATTGTACTTTTAGAATCCACATCCAGTCGATATGTAGGATCTATAGTTTGATAGATATTACGAAGATTGCCTAGATTGTTTGACCACCCAACTACACACTGCTGAGCATATTCTAAAGCACTTCCATCTGTTCTGGGCTATGCTCTGTACATAGAGGGTTCTGCAGAGAGAGATTGCTTGAGTTTACAGAAATACAGTAAATGAAGAAATACAAATGAGTTGTTGAAAAAAATCACATTTTATTCAAAAACAACATTGAGCAACATGCATCTCAGCACATAGCTACTCTGCTTCGGATCTCTCTAAGTGTGATGGCATTGTTTGCCCAAACCCAGTTTGTAACTGCTGCTTCCTGTGCCTCATTGGAAATCCTAAGCCTTCCACCTCTTTGTTCCTCAGTCCTTCAGATAAACAACAAAGATATAGTGGTCGGTCAGTGTCTGTGTTGCATCAAAGTGAGTTTACCACAGTACATTGTGCAGGATAGTTGTACAGTTATAGTATGCAACATGCCAACAATTCAATTACAGTAATGAAGTGAATACGTTTCACACAACAGATATAAGCTCTGAGATATCATGAACTATGCTGAGCTATAAACTGGTAACTAACCTGTTATCAAGTCTAAATGTCCGGATTACAGAGGCGACAGTACATCGGCTTAGATTAGGCTGAACCCTCTGTCCAGCCTCTCTCATCGTCAAACCATGGTTGATAACATTTCATTTAATTAGAGAGTATTCTTCTTTGTCCACGTCCTCTCCCTCCAGCTCTACCTCTACCTCTCATTCTTCCTCCTCTCACTCTCACCCAGCTCTTCCTCTTCCTCTCACTCTCAGCCCAGCTCTTCCTCTTCCTCTTGCTTCCATGTTGGCTTCCATTGTTGCTGTAAGAAAGTACTCACCTGTGGTCTTTTCATAGTGCTAACATCCTGATTGATGAGCCAACAATTATGCTATCAGGTGTTTGGTCAGGTGGAACGTGTTTCTTGATCATTGGTCCATGTGTGAGGCATTTTGAATATCAGTGTTTTAAACCAGCTAATATGGAGCTATTTCAGGGTCATAAGTTTTGATCATTAAAAAAAATACAATTTATTTGAAAGTTCAAGTTTTTATCCTGAACTTTGAAAAATACAATGATGTATTCCAAATAAAAATAAGTATTTGAAATAATTTTTCAGGTTGAATATTATTTTGATTCAGTTCAGCAATTTTTTGGAATAAAATATTTATTTTCAGATTTCACTTTTATACATATTTTGATATTTGAATCCTTATTTTTTTCAGTTGCAGATTTTTCGTTTTCAGATTCAAAACAATAATTTGTTCAGTTTCTAATCTTGTTTTTTCAGGTTTCACATTGCTTTTCACCTTCAGATCGTTTTTCACCTTCAGATCGTTTTTCACCTTCAGATCGTTTTTCACCTTCAGATCGTTTTTCACCTTCAGATCGTTTTTCACCTTCAGATCGTTTTTCGCTTTCAGATTGTTTTTTTTCGCTTTCAGACTTTTGGCCCTGGTGTTACTTGAGGGGGCGGGGCTTAGCAAAGAGTAGTTTGGCATCCTGAGTGACAGGCCTCCCTCTGTCATGTTGCCTTCATGGATGTTAGGTAACTCAATACTTTCTATACACAACAATACTCCCTTGATTTGTGAAATGCTGTTGTGCTTTCTGAAATGCAGTTGTGTCTTGCACTTCAGGGCCACCGTACTTTTTTCAGGTGAAAAATGTATTCATCATGATAACCTGCCCAATTCTAATGTGAGAGTTCAAATAGATTCCACTGGGGGGCCTCAGATTGTGATTTCAAATAACATCCATCTGGCATGTTTGCAAGAATACATATGCAACATTAACCCAATAACTTAATAACACAACCATCCTCTGTCAGTGACACAAATGTCACATAATGCATTACTTTCTATGGATCTAGCACGTAGTTATATGTTTATCCTTAATAATAAATTAACAATATCATCATTAATGTTATTACTAATATTATTATTGTCTGTCTGTCTGTCTTTGTAATCTAACCCTCTGCACCAGTATATTTGTATAAGAGTGGCTCTAAATACAAGATAAGATAATCATGCTTATTGAATTAATAATTAATTTTGACAGCCGCTGTGATCATCCTCGTTGTAAAATCCGATCATGTGAAAGTTCCGTGCTCTGCACTGATTATCTGTGCTAAACAAAAGCAGCAACATTTGTTCAGACAGCAGGTCTGAGGCAGGTCACACCAGCACAGTGTGTGTGTGTGTGTGTGTGTGTGTGTGTGTGTGTGTGTGTGTGTGTGTGTGTGTGTGTGTGTGTGTGTGTGTTGTGTGTGGCTGTGTGTGTGTGTGTGTTGTGTGTGTGTTGTGTGTGTGTGTGTGTGTGTGTGTGTGGTGTTGTGTGTGTGTGTGTGTGTGTGTGTGTGTGTGTGTGTGTGTGGTGTGTGTGTGTGTGTGTGTGTGGTGTGTGTGGTGTGTGTGTGTGTGTGTGTGTGTGTGTGTGTGTGTGTGTGTGTGGGTGTGTGTGTGTGTGTGTGTGTGTGTGTGTGTGTGTGTGTGAGTGTGAGCTGCAGCCATGGCACTCCGGTGGATCGTTCTGTTCTTTGGGCTCGGACTGGTAAGTGTGAATAATTATATATAAATGATCTCCAGGGCTTCAATTAGAGTCACTACAGTTATATAGGAAAACATTTAAAATATTAAATGTAATTTATATGTAATATAATAATTTATATTAAATATAATTTTAATTAAATAAAACATTTAATTAAATAGTATATCAATCATAAAACTTTCCCATTTAATTACTTACTTTAAGAGAAAAAAAATTCAATATGCAAATTATGCATTTGTGCTAATTTGCACAAATGTCCGATATAAATGGAAACGTTGAACAAGCCATGTTCAATTTATTTGTTTTATTTTGTTGGCATATGAAATCAAATAGCTTTTACAATGGGACTTTTGGATATGTCTTTTGCTTGCTCTATAAATCACAATATGCTGCCAGGAACAGCTAATTATTTTTGGGGTAAAAAATGTTCTATAAATCAGGTTATGAACAATGTATGAAGAAACCCCTCTGTGAAACGTTCAGATACATGGATGCAGTGGTTTGCAAAAGTATTTTACCCCCTTGAAATGTATCAGAGATGTCTGGATTACAAAGTATTCTTAGAAATGTATCCAGTCCGTTTTTTTTTAAAGAAACTCATATGATCCAGCAGTACATTTTCAACGCCAAAATGAATGATCTGTTAGCCAATGGGGTAAGTATCTACCAACTCGGCACACTGTTGGGGGGATTTCTGACTTCTTGGCAGATTTGCTCCAGGTTCTTCACATTGGTTGCATGACTCTTGTGGATTGCAGCTTTCAAACAGCACCACGGTCTCTCAATGGGATAGAGATCTGGACTTTCACTTAGCCACTGTAGGACACCTGTTTGTTGTGATTGACAATGTCATTATTAGTATGAAACGTTTTCTTACATGTTGTGTTTTTATATGCAAATAAACCATTATGTAATGCTGACTGTGGGTGAATTTAGGAGAAATCTACAGACCAAAAATAGTTAGTAATCACCTAAATGTGTATGTTGGATGTTTTCAAACTAGTCTGAAAGAAGAAAAAACTCTTAAAATGGACCAGTGCATATAAAAACATGAAAAACAGTACATTTCTTCAATCATGTCATGAATAATCTTGATTAATTTATTTTCTAATGTATGCATGTTGTTTTTAGGCAGCAGCTAAGCTAACAGGAGATACAGGTGAGGCACATATTATGATGTTTTTGGATTTAAAGTGTTTTAGTCAGGTGGGGTTAAGATGACAAAACACAAAGAGACACACACACACACACACCCACACACATACACACACACCACATTTATATTCAACCAAATGCTTTAATGTGCTGTTGTTTCTGAGTATGAAAATATATGTGACATGTTTAGGTTAACATGCCTCAGGTCTATGCTAACTGCACCAGTACATTCATAATTGCGTTAATAATATCGTACTGTAATCCCATATTTGAGCTTCATATTATTGACTCTACAGAAACTGATGTGGATGAAGGCCATGACTGGGACATCTTTAACATCAATAAAGGTTTGTGGACACATTTATTTGTTTTGCTTTATTTGTCCATGTCTCTGAGGATTTTAATATACCAATACCATTTATCTGTGCAGCGGGGGGGCTGGATCTGCTGGAGGGAGACATCGATCTGGAGGAGGTGAGCCCGTCTGAGTATGACTTCATATCTGCACACACAAAATGATATACTGAAAAGAGAGCATCCATACTCAGCTTATCACCGATAGCAATCAGAACAAATGTAAATAGATTTATTTTCATATTATATTCATTCACATATGGCTGTCACCATATCAGATTTGCACTCCATGATTATCATTGCCAAAATAATAAAGGAATATTGATATTATTGTGATATTTATAGATCATTTAAAACAGAAATAATAATGATATCAGGCAAAAACTGCACAAATGTTGATTGTGCATTTTCCCTCTTTTTTCGGCAATTCATTCGACTATATTTGTTTAGAATTATTTATATTTCGTTTATTATTAATCATTTGTATATTATTAATAAAGACACAAAAACAATTCTGTGATTCTGTTATAATGAAGATCATAAGGCTTTAATGTAACAGAATACCCTCCAAGGGAATCTAATTTGCATGCAATCTAGCAAAGCTAACAATTTAAGAACATCCTTTAAAGTGAGAATGTTCTTGTTGGTGCTTTTTCTTTATCTATTTCTATTGTTTACATGTTGTTCTCTTCATTGATATCAGTCAGTCAACAGAAACTCCATTATAGGAGACAAGTACCGCTGGCCAACAACACTCCCCTATTACCTGGAGGATAGTCTGGGTAAGACACACACATAACCCTGTCATGTCATTATGGATATACAACAAATTGGAATGTTTTTTAATCTTTGTCTTATACTCTGCAGATATGAATGCAAAGGGAGTCATCCTGAAGGCATTTGACCAGTACAGACTGAAGACCTGCATTGACTTCTCTCCATGGAAAGGAGAGGAGAACTACATCTCTGTGTTCAAAGGGAGCGGGTGAGCGCTGTGTTTGGTCCATTTAAACAAACCAGAACTATCTCAGTGCTGATTCCATGCTTGCTGGGGAAATGTGTCCCAACATATGTCAAGGCAAACACTACATTCCCAACAAATGTTTGAGATACCCTAATACTTTTAGAAATGCTATAGGCCAAACAAAAATGAATGTGAAGGAGGTTTCTTGTGACAAACCCAGAGAGAATTACACCCCTTAGCTCTACAGAACCTTTTAGGATCTTTCCGCTCCGTTTGGGTTTTTGGTGCACAACCTAAACAGTTTACAGTGAAATAGCTCAAATAAACCAACTATACGCTAACTATCCAGCACCTAAGATGAACATTTTGGCCACAAGATCCTTCTCTGGGATTGATTGAAACCAAATAATATCGAAAAGGATCTAGAATTTTTTATTATTATTATGAAAAAGTAACTCATTTGGTATAGCGAGAACGCACAGATAGATAGAATGGGTGGGATGAAACCCTCTTTTAATGGTCACACATGCAGAGCACACAGCACACACAGTGACATGTGTTCTCTGCTTTTAACCCATCCTAGTACCAGGAGTCTAGTACTAGGAGCAGTGGGCAGCTATTGTACAGCGCCCAGGGAGCAATTGGAGTGGGGGGGGGGTGTCCGGTGCCTTGCTCAAGGGCACCACGGCAGGGCAGGAGGTGAAGTCCACACTCCATATTTGGTGTCTTAGTCTGGTCGGGGACTTAACCCGGCGACCCTACAGCTCACAGTCCAAGCCCCTACCGACTGAGCCGCTGCCGGATAGGCAGGTCTAACAAACAGGACTTTCAGCCAGGAGACCACTGTTTCTCTCATTTGTGAAACCAAAAGTCAACTTGTCAAATGTTGTCCAGTAGGTATGAGAATGTGTTGGTCCTTCAGTGTTTTGTTCACAGTTTGATCTGCTTTCCCCAAGTGGCAAACATTTTGATATCTGCTTTAGGCCACATAGAATTTCAACAAAAACCTAATCAAAGTGCAGAATAATTTCCAGGATAATGTGCTATTATTTCAGGTTTATGTCAGTCTTCTGATACTGGATCACTGCATGTCTTATTGAATATTAAATATACATAAACATGACAAATAACCTCTCTTGACAAACAAAAGAGCATATACATTAAAGTAACACAGTATCTTCTAAGCTAGATCCAGGAGAGCTTCCCATGTTTTGTCATCCTCCTAATGTCAGATGTCTCCCTTTGCTTAAAAGACTATAAAGTGAAATGTGCACGTTGTGTTTTCCGTAGATGCTACTCCTCTGTAGGGAACCAGCGAGTGGGGAAGCAGCGGCTGTCCATAGGTAGAAACTGTGATCGCCTAGGAACCGTTGAGCACGAGTTCCTGCACGCTCTTGGCTTCTGGCACGAGCAGTCCAGAGCTGACCGCGATGATTACGTTGACATCATGTGGGATCGCATCGAACCTGGTAACATTCATCTGCAACACCTTTAACTACAGCTCGCTTAAAATGGTGGATACTCATGCAGGGACTTTATACAATATGAGTACACAAACTATAAAGTGGTGCAGATATGAGTCCTGTTTTTGGTTTCACGTCCACGACATTTGACACATGTATTTACGCTTAAAACATCAGATAATATCTAGAGAATATTCTGCTTTTCTTATTTTCTGTGATCTTCTGAAATCCAATGGAAAAACCAAATTGCCAGAATTGCTTTTTGTCGAGGGAACCCTTGTGATGCTAACTTCCGGGTCGGTCTACAAAAATACGTCATCACTGCCGGCTGTTATTTTCTCCTTAAACATGTATGCTACCTGAATACAACAAAGTTCTGAATTCAGCCTCATCTTCTTAAATTTCCCAGGTAAAGAGCACAACTTTAAAACATACGACGACACAGTGTCCAGTGCTCTGGGCGTTGCCTATGACTACGGCTCTGTAATGCACTACAGCAAGACTTCCTTCAACATCGCCTCCGAGCCCACCATCGTCACCAAGATCCCGCACTTCATGGACGTGATTGGTCAGAGGATGGGCTTCAGTGCTAGTGACCTCACCAAGCTCAACCACCTCTACAACTGCAGTGAGTCCATTTGGCCATCAAAGTTTAAATGAAGCATAAAACCTGAACTTTGAGAGTTCAACAATCAATAACCCAAATTAGGTCATGAAATATTATTTGTGTGAGGTACAAGTAAGGTCAGACTTATCTGGTGTACACTGATGCTTACAGTATATACTGTATATACTGTAAATAAATAATTGTAGGCAGTCATCTCTAATTATTAGCCCTTAGTACTAAAGCCATTTGTTATGATTTGCTCGTCAGCAGTATTGAGGGATTAATCAACCAAATATTCCCCGGGATAAATGCAGTAATCTGACTCTAATTTTGAAAACTACTGGCCCTATTTTAATTTAACTTGTTGAAATTATGCAGCACTGGCTAACATGCAATCGATTTCCCTTTTTGAAAGGGCATTGGTGGTGTTTTTTAAATCTTTCACTCATGGCCTTATTTATGCAGAAAGTTTTCAAGGGTCAGATCAGAACAGAGTCGCTCTGAACTCTTGAAGCTCTTTTCGGTTCAATGTGTTTTTCAGTCCAGGTGAACCTATGTTGGGAGATGATGTAACAACATTGTGTCAGGGAACTTTTGTTCTCTACCAGCATATCAGCCCTCAGTTATCAAGCTGGCTGATGCACTGATGATATCACTCCTTTCATGCAGGGTAAATAAAAGCTGGCTCTGTGATAACATTGATCAAAGGTGTCCTGACTCAAAACTGTTACATAAGAGGTTTCCAACTAATAATGAATGAAGTGCCATTTACACGAGAACGCAAACGGGTTGTACTTTTCTCTTTCGTATAGCCCGTTCGTTCACACGAGGCCGTAACGGAAACGCGGAAACGGACCCCGCAAACGTTCACAACGTGGATAGATCTGCAAACGGAACGCTCTGGGAGGCCAAACGGCTCTGTGTGTACGCCCTATACGATAATTTCTTGATAACGATGAAGCCATAGCCCCGCCTCTTCCCACCTCTGCTGCTCACTGCTGTAGCATGGTCAGTAGCTACTGTCAGTAGCTACTGCTACTGCTACTGACCATGCTACAGATGTTAGTGCAAAAATCTACAGCTCCTCTACCACAACCATCAGCAACAAGTGGACATGGAGAACTACATGAACTACATGTTGCTAAATCCACCGCGGGGCATAAACAGGACAACCATGGCAACCATGCTCGGGGGTCTTCTTCGCTGCTTTTGGTGTATTTTGTGGCGAAAGTACAGCGCCACTTACAGGCCCGGCATATGTACCAGCGCTCCCGAGCGGTCTCGTGTGAACGGAAGACTTTTTTATATCGTATTAGTTTGCGTTTCGTATGCGTTTGCATGTAAATAGGGTCTGAGTATGTGCTGCGATGCATACTAAATGTTATAAGTGTATTCCTCTGAATGGATCAAACAGCAACTATCGCAACAATGAAATCTTAACATTGGAAGTATTAAGTTGTGCATTATACTATACTTGGGAGATTTTTTTAAATGTTACAACCTGTGCATCTTTTGGAGAGAATTGATCTAATGTATTGCAAAGGAATGGCTATGGCAATTCATTTGTTAGACGAGTTTGTTAGGGTTTAAATATATTTCAAAAGTCTGTGATTCTTGGAGTTGAGGAATGAGGCTGCTTCTGTTATTATTTGGTTTAATTATAAATGGTCAGAGAATGTAAAATAACTGACAGTAATAAAAAAAGACTTTGTTTTGCTGATTTTGCTTATTCTAAGGAATATGTTTGTTGCCTACAGTAAGTGGAAGGATGGATGTGATTGCCTGTGTTATTTTATATCTATGTATACTGTATTTATCTTTGCAATACTATGTACATTTTGGTAGCATTCCAGGATTATGACAGCACTTCTGATCAGTCAAACAAGATTAAGTCTTGGTTATTCAAGGCTGCTGCATTTCCATTTTCATTCAAATATTACTGTTTCCTCTCCACAGGGAAGTCCTCAACCTTTGTGGACAGCTGTAACTTTGAGGAGGAGAACATATGTGGCATGATTCTTGGTCCTGGTAATGCAAAGTGGGAGCACCGCAGTTCTGTGAGCGGAGGGCCTCAGACTGACTTCTCCAACCTGGGTCAATGTAAAGGTGACTGT